GTAGACGTAGCCTCCGGGTTCAGGGGGCATCCCTTTCCTGATGGGATCCATGCCTGACTGGGGCAAAAAGTTGATTCTGCCTAGTAGGCCGGTGTCCTGCTCAGCCATGTAGTAACAAGGCCAAGTTATGCTTATTTCATTGTCTTTTCTACCTTTTATCAGCAACTAGTTTCTGGTGCTGTTCTTTGGTCTGGTGGGTGGTATGAAGGATCTTTCTTCCCTTCCTTACACTAGCCTCTTTTGTTGCCAGAAGTTTCTTGCAGTACCCTGTAATAGCTTCTTGCCTAAAGTGATGGCTTCCTTTCTGCAATTGTACTGGTGGTATAAATTGGGTGCTGGCTTGACAGAAATGTCTGGCCCTTGGTCGCTGGACTGAGAATTCTAGTGGGCTCATGTGGAATGGAAAGTTTGGCAGTGCTACTGCTAGCTTGGGGGAAGCAGCATGATGCTTGTGGCTGGGGTTACTTAAGGTGTATGCACTTCAGTGCTCCACACAGCCCTTCATTTTCATCAGCTTTTTGACAACCCTGTTGCTTTTGCCTAAGAGGCCTTTGTGGAAGAAATCCAGCTCCCAGAAGAAAACAGCTGTGAAAGGGGGAACCCTGCCTGCCACTAGCTCAGAAACCCTAGTTGAACTCTTCAGTACTGCCTACCTCTGCACTGTAAAGACTTTGTTTTCCCCACTCCTGCACCAGTAATACAACTGGGGTCCGTGAAGGCTTAGAGGGCCAAGTCCAACTGTTGTCTCACCAAGTCTGGCAGGCTCCCACAGTTGCAGTGGTGCCAGGGGCTCCAGTGTGTATTCACTTAATTTGAAAAATGACACGGCCTCCTGTGCAGCTGAAAGAAGAGGGTCCATTCCTGTGCAGATTCTAGGTTCTCTCATTTGTCCAACCCCAGGAGTAGGGACTAGGGTTACCATATTTCCAGGTCCAAAAAAGGGCACCTCTGTCACAGGGTCCACCCTGTGACAGAGGTGCCCTTTTTTGGATGGGGCAGGGCAGCGGTGCCCTGCCCCTGCCCATTCTGTTGCCTTTCACTGACAAGTCACATACCTCCCCCAGCCCCACCTGTGTCCATCAGTTCCAAACAGCAGTACCCTCTGGTGTGGTCAATGCCCTGCACACCCAGCCCACAGTCACCCATCCTGCAGCCCCTGCCCCCTTGCTGTTGCCCCTCTCGACCTGCAGTCCCCTACCCTGCCCCCCAGCCCTGCTGGTATCCTGTACTCCTGATCTGCAGACCCCTGCTCCCCCCAGTGCTGCTGCTTACTCACTCTCTCTCTCTCTCTCTCTCACTTGCCTGAGCCTGCACGGGAAGCACGTGATGCCTGACAACCAGTCACCTTGCCTGCTGCTCCGAGCCCAAAGCAGCCAGTCTGAGACAACAGAAAACCCAGACATTTGCTCTCTTTTTTTTTTTTAAAAACCCACCCTGACGTAGCACAGGGGGTCCAAAAAAGAGGACATGTCTGGGAAAACCCAGACATCTGATAACCCTAGGACTGTCAGCACTTCCATGTTTGTGCTTTTACAAAAAAAGGCCATGGGCTAGATGAAGGCACTGCCGTGAAGGCTATCGTATCTGTGTGCATATATTAAAAAAACAAACCCACAAAAAAAACTGGTCTAGCATTTGGGTACCCATGTGGCACCTCTTCAAAGGTGACAGACTTCCTGTAGGTAGATGTTCTGCACTCTCCAGCTGTGTTCAGGAACTTCCCAACTCCAAGTATACTGCTGAAGTAAGTAGTCTCCACCTCCAGACAGTGTGGCAAGGTACTGAAGTCCGCTCTGTCTGGTGCTGTTTATTCAGGTGTGAGTCAATATGTTCTTTAACAGAAACATAAACTTGTCAGGAGATAGGTGCTTCAAGAGCAGCCATGGCACCCCTGATGTTCACTTCCTGTTCTGCTCTGGCTCTAGGTCCCCTACCTCTATTCTCACCTGCCATGCCTAGATGTTCTTAGGAAAGGGAAGCTGCCTTAGGGCCCTAGAGCAAACTTCATGCTGGCCACCTGCCTGCAAATCTCTTCAAATCCTGTTGGACTTGCTTCAGTCTTTACACTTAATTAGTCCATATAGCCCCCCCTAGGACACCTGTTGCCTCATGGCTAATCATTGCCTCCAAACCTCCCCTCAGGTCAATCATTGTTTAAAAGAGCACATAGCCTAAACCACCCTGCTACCTTAGGCCTCCACTCCCTTGTTGGGGAGTCCCACTGCTCTAGTTGGCCTTCTTAGCCTAAACCTGCTGCACTAGATCTGACTTCTCAAGCTCCAGCCCTTGTATGGTAATATGGGCTTTTGGGCTCATATCTCTGTCCTTCATGGGCTGCTGCCCCTTACTCTGGCAGGATGCATCCTGGCCCCCAAATCCTGCCCCTTTCAGCTATAGGCTCTCTAACCCTTTCTCTGCCCTTAGAGGTCTGTTGGGTCCCTGACCATGGGTTTGCCTCTCTCAGGTGCTGGGCCCTTAACCCTGTGTATCTCTGTCGCTTTCTCTACTGGTGGGCCTTTGGCCTTGAATCTCAGCCTCCCAGCTGTACTGCAGCTTACATCTCCCAGGCCCTGCCCCTTTCTGGTCAGGTGACCTCCCCAGCTATTCTGACTAGGCTTGCTGGCTTTACCTCCTGGTAGCTTGCTGCTGCCGCCTAGATACCGCAGGAATATCTCATCTCCCCTGCCAGACTCAACCCTGCTGAGCTATTGCAAGGCACCCTCCCCACCTCTGCATTCTGCAATATGCCCTCCTAGCCTGTTTTCCCCCCTATTTCCTTTGTAATCATCTCCTCCTGCTGCTTTTGTCCTCCTCAAACAACAAGAGCCTTCTGGCTCTGTTACAGAACTTATTTCACTTCACGGAAGACAGGTAGGAAGAAAGAGATAGGAACCACTAAACAAGATGGGGGAGAATCAAAGTACTAACAATCTTGTTTTTCGTATGACCTGCAGCCCAAATGCATGTTGCATGCTCTGCTTTGTCTTCCTGAAATGCTCACAAGCTGGCTTTGTTCTATTCACATAAGCATGAACAGTCAATTGGGTGGACTCTTTGGTCACTGTTTCCTTCGGCAGCTCCATACAACATGGATTGGATTTCTGCCCAGCAGATATTGAAGGTGCACTTGGTTGCAGGAACAGGTCTTTCATTTCTCTGACCAGATTTGCAAGCAGATTGTGGTGCTGTGGTTGATTGTGCTGCATTCTCAGGAGGCAGATTAGCAACCAAAGTAGGATGGGACAGGTATACAGTTCCCTTATCCATCCCACGCCGGGCACATCCTTTTTGTCCTGCCTTCAGATACCAAGGTGAAATATTGGTCTACAACCACAGCTTTCAGATCAGCAATATTATGAGCCAGGCATAGGAGGGCTGGAAAAAGACCAATGTAGTGCCTTTTTTTTTCAAAAAGACCTGGGGAACTGCAACCTGGTTAGGCTCATCTCAATGCCCAGGAAGTTACTGAAGCATATCCTAGGAAAGGCCATTTGCAGGCACCTGAAGTGGGGAAGGCTGAGCACAAGTAGGCAGCATGGATTTACAAATAAATGGTGTCAAACACACTTGATCCCCTTTTTTGACAAAGTAACTAGGATGAAGGGAATGCTTTAGATGATATGTATTTGGACTTTAGCAAGGTTTCTAACAAGGCCTGCATGGCCTCATAAATTAGAGATGTGGGCTAGATCAAACTACTGTAGTACTGATCTCCTGTACTAAGGTAGATAGATAACTGGCTCAATAGCCACAAGCAAAGGGTAATTATTAACAGCTCCATGTCAGAATGCCAGGTTTCAAGTGGAGTCCCAGAGGGGGCCTGTCACTTTTCAGTGCATTTATATTAATGATTTGGATGGTGGCATAGGAAGCTTCTTGAGCAAATTTGTGGACCACAGGAGACTAGGAAGGATTGTGAAGATGCTGGAGGATGGGAGTGCATTTCAGAAGAATCCCAACAGGTTGGAGCTAACAAGAAGTCCAATGCAAGGTGCTAACACTGCATGAAGAATAATCAAAAATATCCATAGTGACACCAGGCCAGATAGTAGCCCTAGCAGAAGAGACCTGGGCATCTTGATAGATTACAGACTCAAAATGAGTCTGCAGTGACACAGCCACTCAAAAGACAAATGAGATTTTGGGATGCATCAATAGAAGCATTACATACAAGACACAGAAGGCAATAGTGCCTCTACTTAGCACTGGTTAGGCCTCATCTAGAATGTTGTGTGCCGTTCTGGGCTCCACATTTTTAAAAGGACATGGAAAATTTTGAGGGGGCCCAGAGGCAAGCAACAAGAATGATAAAGGGCTTGGAAAGCAAGTCTCATGAAAGGCTGAAAGCACTAGGCATATTCAGCTTACAAAAAAGGCCTCTTAAGAGGGGACATGATAGCAGTCTTCAAACTCCTGAAGGGCTGCCTTAAGGAAGAAGGAAAACACCTTTTCTCTCTTGCTGCAGAGAGGACACAGACCAACGGCTTGACGTTGCAGCAAAGTAAGTTTAGATTAGATATCTGGAAAAACTTCTTCATGGTTAGAATGATGAGGCAACGGAAGAGACTTGTTCTAGGAAGTTGCGGACTTCACTGCAGGTGTTCAGGAAGAGGTTGGGCAGTCACCAGTCAGGGATGATCTAAGCATAGCTATGCCCATGTTCTTCTATGGCAGAAGCAGGCAAAATGCAGCCCACCAGGCTATTCTATCTGGCCCGCAGGGCCCCTAAAAATTTGGAAAATTTAATATCTGGCCCTGGCTGCCTGTCATGCAGCTGTTGATGGCTTGCCAAAAGTTGGTAAGCGGCCCTCTGCCCAAAATAACTGCCCACCCATTCTATGGGTATTTGCCATGCTTCTGGGCTTTGCTGGCTGCCCCTACTGGCTGCTATGTGTCAGGATGTTTTTAAGATTTCCTCAGAGGCATTGT